TGTTATGGTCCACATACCACTCCTGTCCCCACTACTCCTCCATGCCCCATAGCCACCAACTTCTCCCGCAACTCCCCCCCAACTCCCAAGCTTTGTCCTTTGTCAAGGCTCCCCACCTGATCTTGGGTGAACCATGCACAACTCTCTTCTTCCTTGTCCTCCTGATCTCCAAGTCCATCACCAAGAGCCTATGTTGGGTTGAGAGATTCTCACTCGGAATAACCTTAATAAAATAAGATATCAACACCTCAATCCTCACATCAATGCCACTGCGTGAGTATAAGATATGCAAATCTGCATGCTTAGGATCCCTTTCTCAAACCTCACAACACAAATCCATATGCCTGACACATGCCACGTGTCCAAACAAGCACCAAAAATCCCGTGTGTCTACGCTCACAGGGCCCATGGTAAGTAATATGAGTAATCACCTGACTCCGGAGGGATGGATCCATATCCAAGTGTTTGATCATTTTACAATTAATGATCAATAACCAATAATTGTCCGCTCATAGTGTCCGTAGTGCCAACTCCTCAACTTCCCATAACAACCAACTCTCACTCATGCATATGTGTATGAAATAATATACTCCCTCCGTTTCAATTTAAATGACATACTTTCCTTATTAGTCCGTTCCAAAATGAATGTCATAATTCTATACTTGAAAACAATTTAACTTTAAGCTTTTTATTTTACTCACTTTACTCTTAATGATAAGCTTTTATAGCCACACAAATGCCATGGTCCCATAAAACTTTCGCCCCTTAAGTTTCTAAGGCTAGATATTTCAAAAATCTTTCTTTTTTTTTTCCTTAAATTTTGTGCCAAGTCAAACTACATTATCTAAATTGAAACGGAAGGAGTTATAAAGAAGCATCAAATAACAATAAGAATGCAGATAAAAGCTCATATGGTTAAAAGATGACTATGGTTAATCATGTACTTCCTCTGTTTCAAAAAGGATTGGGCTATTTCCTTATTACTCTTTTCCAAAAAAATTGGTACCTTTCAATATTTGCTTAATAGGAAGCATTTTTAGCAACACAAATGTCATGGCAAGTTTCAGACCACAAGTTTCAATAGTTTTTCAGCAACACAAATGCTATAGCTTATTTAAGACCACATATTTTAAAAGTCTTCCCTTGTTTATTAAAGTTTGTGCCAAGTCAAACTAAGACAATCTTTTTGAAACGGAGGAAGTAATTCAATTTATCACAACGGTTCAATAAGCTTTTTACGTATGCACAAGTTTCTATCATATTATCTAACATGAGTCAATTAAGCCACATAACCACCAAATCATGGAGCAAATTAGACAAGTATATGACTACGGATTAACATTAAAGCTCAACATGGCAAACAATCCTTTATGTCCAGTTCAACAAGTCATTACCTTAAATAAACTCCTAAATCATAATTATGAATTATCACGTAGTCAATGGAATAAACGAAACATGGATAATAAGCTCACATAGTCCAAACAAGGCATAAGCATAAGTCAATCTCTACCGGATAAAGTCATTACCAAGCTACGCATATACGCTCGTCACCTCGCATATGCGTGGCTCCTAAGTCAAGCAACATGTAGCAAATAGATCACCTATAAGGAGAATTCCCTCCTACAACGATAAACAAGAGACTTTCCTCCTAGCAAGCTTAAATCAACCAACAACCGCCTTTCCCTTCAAAATCCAACACTAAATGACTCGAATCTAGTCAAATATAACTCAATATTGTCAAACAATGCTTAAGGAATCAATCCAAACGATAAAGCTTCAATTTTTAATCAAATCCCCGAAAGTCAACAAAACCCAACCCGGGCCCACATTGTCAAAATCCAAGTCAAGGGATAGATCCCGACTATCCATAACCCCACGAGTCCAAATATGTGATTAGATTTCAAAACCGAGTCCAAATCGACCCTCAAATCCCCAAAATTTACCCTCTTAAGTAGTAGACAAAAACCTCAATTTTCTCTTTAAAATTCCGTGATTAAAGTATATAATTCCGCAGAGGCTCAAGATATATAATCAAATCCAAGTTTAAATGACTTACATGCAAAGTAGTGATGAAAGTCTCCTTAAATATCGCTTCTTACCGAGTTCCAAAATTCAAAATAATGAAAAGATAGCTAACCCTCGAAAATATGAAGTCTGCCAAGGATCTCGCATCTACGGAACAAAGGGTCGCTTCTGCGACATATCGATCGCATCTGCGATCCTCACTTACACATCCCCCACCGCATCTACGGAGAAACTATCGCATTTGCGGATTCGCAGATGCGACCAGAAATGCGGATATGCGCTACATCCTGAGCCAACCCAATCTTGCACCTGCGCACGAACCCCCACTTTTGCGAAGGCGTAGATGCGGCAATCCATCGCTTCTGCGGCCTCGCACCTGCGCAAAAACCATCGCAGGTGCGACACACCAATACTAGATCGTCCTAACCACTTCCAAATGGTCTGAAACCAATCCGAAACACACCCGAGCCCCCGGGCCCCCATCCGACCATGCCAACAAGCCCGAATACTTTATCCTAACTTATCCAAATGCTCAAGACACCACAACTAACATCGAAACCAAGAATCGGCAATCAAAATCCATCTCTTAGCTTCCAAACTTTCCTACTTTGCCGAACGTCGGAATCATGCCTAAACCTTCCGGATTCCAACCAAACTTGCCAGATTCGAAACATTGCACCTATCCAAGTTCCGAAACACCAATCGAAGCCCGATACCATCAAAGTCAACTCCCGGTCAAACTCATGAACTCTCCAAACCTTCAAATTGCCAACTTCGGTAAATAGAGCCAAAACCTTCTAGGAATCACTGAATCCAAATCCGAACACACTCCCAATTCCAAAATCACCATGCGAACCTATTGAAACCATCAAATTCCGATTCCGAGGTCGTTTACTCAAAAGTCAAACCTTGGTCAACTCTTCCAACTTAAGGCTTCCAAATTGAGAATCACTCTTCCAAAACTCTCCGAACCTATCGAAAATCAAAACCAACTATACACGCAAGTCATAATGCATATACGAAGCTACTTAAGGCCTCGAACGGAATGTTAAAGCTCAATATGACCGGTCGGGTCGATACATATATTTGCTTATCAAGAAGTATTCCTGCTGGTTCAGATAGATTTAATGATTCGCCTGATCGAATTAAAACTACGTTGCCTTTCCAGCCCCAGAATTCAACTTCTTCTATTCGATGTATTATACATGCATTGAGTTACCCAAGAGAATAACCTACTTTTCTTGTCTGAATTGGTATGTAACTGGTCATAGTGCTTGCTTACTTCTCTATATGCAAATGAAAGGCACTGAAAAATTTATAATAACAGTGTTGACGTCATCGTTGGCAGCTTTCCTTTTGAAAATGGTAACAAATAGTCGTTGGCAGCTTTCTGAGGCTCTAGCTAACTTGGTTGACCAGTACGACTAAACCCATTAGGCATTTAGCTTGAATAATCAATTCTATTAAACACAATTTGCTGCAAGTTAGGTCTTTTGAGCACTGATCATTGGAAATGCTTATTCGTGTATTCGTGCTTAGTTTTCGTTGTTTAATATTTTTGGGTGTTGCAGAACTTATAATTGTGTTTTGTCACGACCCAAATTATGGGACTGTAACAATACTCGATGATCTTGCTCCCATTAAGTTAATCACTTTTTGAATTTGACTCAACTGAAATCTGTAGAGAAATACGTATTTCCTATGTTGCTCGGACTCTTCGAAAATGTAACTGGGTGCGTGTCCGATCCTCTATAAGTAGTGCATTTTTGGAGGATCCGACACGGATGTGGCAAGATTTTTGAAAGTCCAGGCAACATAGCTTGCTTCAAATGCTAAATTCATATCCTAAGTACATGCTACCAAGTATATTGAGAACAACTCTAGAATAGAGCAGTGTGGTGCACAAAATATGCCGCGTTCACGGGTCCAGGGAAGGGCCGTACCTCAAGGATGTGATGTAGACAATATACCCTAATGCAAACATTAGTGGCTGCTTCCACGGCTTGAACCCATGGCCTATAGGTCACGTGAGGACAACTTTACTGTTGCTCCAAGGCGCTCCCCTTTGGAACAACTCTAGACTACTGAACATAAACAGTAGTTTCAAAAATGAAGGTATAAGGTCTAGCACCCAGACTGGAACATACTTATCTTTTAGAAAAATGCTAAATGCAAAAAATATATATCTGCTTTATGTGTTCTAAATTTTCTCATGTTGTCTTCTCATCTTTAAAATTATGAAGGAATACAAATTGTTGTTGGAATAGACATTTCTGACACAGTGATCAGTAAGGAATCTGATTGGTAGGAAAATTGATGATTATGGGAATGTCAAGCTAGTGACAACGGTCTGATCTCAACCAAATAAGTTAGGTATCTCCAATGTCTGATCCCAACCCGATAAGCTAGGTATCTCTTTAACCTCTATCCAATGGGTGACCGTATCTCAACTTGGGTTATTAGTACTCTTGGCATCTGAGTCTCTGCGATGTTGATATCTAGTGTTGTTGGTTTTATAACTGTTCTATAGAACTTACCTCTCACTTTGGTAGGCATCCTTCTATCATGTTACCGTTTTATACTTCTCCATTTCAACCATCCGATTTTGATTTTGTGTATACATCTTCATCTGTCATCCCATTCTCCTGGAACAACCATCGTAAATATCTGATTTTTTTTGCATTTGGGCACATCAAACCTGTGTTATTTAACCTCAATTTCACTGTTCTTCATTTATTTATTTTCCATTTGTTGAAATTTACTGGTGATGCAAATGTCGGTGTTAGTTTTATCAGCTCTTTGATGATCCATGCGTGTGTATGTTGTGTGTGTGTGTATATATATATATATATATACACATTGTATCATCTCTTGTTTGTTATGCTCATAGGTAGTAATATATTGTTCAATTCTCAGATTTCAGATCTCGAGGATACACCTATTAACCTTTTCTTGCTTGATCATTATGGTTTCAGGTATCCAACATTTTTTGATGATATTGCTGCACGCCTGCTTCCGATCATCCCCCTAATCATATATAGACTTATTGAAAATGACGCTATGGATGCAGCTGATAGAGCTCTCCAAGTTTATTCGACCTTCCTTCATTACTATCCTCTGAACTTTACGTTTGTTCGTGATATACTGGCTTATTTCTATGGTCATCTTCCTGGAAAGCTAATACTCCGCATATTAAATATCTTGGATATTAAAAAGGTGATGATGGTTGATGCTTTTGTAACTTGCTAATTGTTTTTGCCCTTCTCTTTTACTAATCACTGAGTCATTCTTTTTTCTTTTTTTCCTTTCAGATTCCATTTTCTGAGTCATTCCCGCAACATATCAACTCATCAAATGCAGCCATGTGTCCACCATTGGACTACTTTGCTACTCTTTTATTAGGACTGGTGAATCATGTTATTCCTGCTTTAAATAATAGCTCCAAATGTGCAGCAATGGGAGATATTGCAAATAATTCTACGCGTGCTCCCCATGGCAAGATCCAAGCCACGTCACAACCTGGGCCAACTAATTCTTCTGAAGTGCAGAAACCATATTATCAGATGCAAGACCCTGGGACTTTCACCCAGCTGACTCTTGAAACAGCTGTAATAGAATTACTTTCTCTGCCTGTTTGTCCTTCGCAGATTGTCTCAGCTCTTGTTCAAATTGTTGTTCACATACAACCAACCCTTGTCCAATCCAGCAATGGGCTACATGGAGCTCCTGGTAGTTCTGGACAAGGCTCTATCTTGCCTACTTCTCCTTCAGGGGGAAGTTCTGATTCTTTGGGTGCAACTAGGACGACTCCATCGGTTTCAGGAATGAATACTTCTAATTTTGTTTCACGTAGTGGTTATACTTGCCAACAGCTGTCTTGCTTGTTGATCCAAGCTTGTGGTCTTCTTTTGGCACAACTTCCTCCGGAGTTTCATGTACAGCTATATGTTGAAGCTGCACGCATAATCAAAGAAAGTTGGTGGCTTACTGATGCAAAAAGATCAGTGGGTGAACTAGAATCTGCTGTTAGCTATGCTCTACTAGACCCCACCTGGGCTGCACAGGACAATACCTCAACAGCCATTGGTACGCTTTCTTAAACTCTCTGGAATAACTTTACCTGTTTGTTTGCTCACTCCCCCGGTCTCTATTGATTGACCTCTATTGACTGGCAGTGTGATCATAAGAAGCCAAAAGTGTTGAATGGAAAAAAGGGGAGAATTGCGATTTTGGTATATGAAGTAATGCGTTATTCCGGATTTAGTTCCATATCATTTAACTTCACATAGTTTGCCTTTAATTGGACAATACGTGCACTTTACTACTTAGAGTTAACAGAAACTAATGGAAGATAGTAAAAACTAGAGAATTTTGATTAAAACAGAAAAAATAAAAAATAAAACGTAGTAGAACTCTATGACGACTCCACTTCCTCCTCCAACTTCGCGCTTGCTGATCCTCTCCAACCTCTTGTTCATCCTCCTACTGCTTTCACCAGCGACAACATGCTCAAGTATTTCAAAGTTAATCATGTGCTTACTATTAGAGTGTTACAAAATGAAGGTAATCATCGCCTTTGTGTATTTGTAAATAATGTTCTGATTTATCAGTAGTTTTATCTATCAAAGTTTGCATGTAATACTGGAACACTTGCGTGAATAAAATTTTGGCATACACAGAAAATGAAGATAGAAACCAATTAAGATGCTATACGGCTAAAAGCTTGTTCCGACACTATATCAGAAAATTTAGGATAACATCATCATCTTCGGTGATGAAACATTCCGAGGACTCGAGTTTAGCAGAGACATGGAAATGAAAGGAGCACAAAAGCCAGAATATGACCACGACCTCCTGGCCCCTTCCTCGCCACCCTTCTATTTTCCTGTCCACTAAAGTTTTCTCATCCCACTACACGACCCCTTGCCCTTGGTTAGAAAGCTAGCCAACAGTATTATGTTCCAGATGACGAGGGAGAAGAGGATAAAAAGTGGCAGGAAGTCGGCAGTTATCACGTTCTGCTACTGTTTTTCTTTTGAATTTATCTCTTTATTTTTATGATATTTCAAATAGTTATTTTGTTAATTTTTGAGTACTCATTAGCTTTCATCAAATTCAGGGATTAAGAGTGCACATGTGATTGAATTAAAGGTCAAATGTTGTTGAATACAGTGTTTTTAAAGGCCCCTGGGGCGGATCAAAACTCCCCGAGGCTCACGTGTGGGGCTTAGTTCTGTGAGGCTTACGCCCCAAACGCTCGGCTTTGTGCCCGAAACATGCCTAACGCTCAACGCCCGGGGCTCGCCTAATAGTTCCTAACACAAATCATTCGGAAAATTCCTTAATTAGTACTGTCGACACTCAAAACTCTTCAACAAATGAATGATTTAAGCTCTACTCATCTATAGAAATATGAAGATTGAGAGTAGCTCAAAATAATGAATCATGGTATTGCATATTTACTAATTGAGAACGTCGGGATGGTGAATATCATTTGAATATTTTTTCTCTAAATAGATAGTCAAGATTTCCATCTTCACTTATTATAGGTCTTCATATCTTAGTTTTATGTCTTTCAAAATTATTAGACTTTTGTTATTTTACTACTCCCTCCGTTTCAATTTATGTGAACCCATTTGACTGGGCACGAAGTTTAAGAAAAGAGAGAAGACTTTTGAACTTGTGGTGTAAAATGAGGCACATGTATTTTATGTGGCCATAAATCATTGAATAAAGGTAAATTGTTTCTAAATAGGGAAACGGGGTTATTCTTTTTGGCACGGACTAAAAAAGAAATAGGTTCACATAAATTGAAATGGAAGAAGTATTTGCAAGCAATTTTATATTTACTCTGAAGGAGTAATATTTGAAATTACAGTACTGATGAAGTTTATTGATTATTAACTTTTAGAGAGGTAAATTGTGTAGTTTAGTAATATCTTTTAGTAAATTGTAATTTTCTAATTGTTCCAAAGATAATGCATTATAGTTGATTTTTATCTCATAGTATTTTAAACTATATTTATAAGAAAATGGTAGTTTTTTTATGAGTTATTTTAATCCTTCTTAATTTTCTTAAACTTTTAATATACTTTCTATACTTTTTGTGCTTATTATGCTATTTTATTAATTTATAAATTGAGAAATTTAAAGGTCCATGGGGCTTACGCACAATGTCTTGGGGCTTATGCCTCGCCCCACGTTAAGTAAAATGCCCCGTCTCATACCCCCGCCTTTTAAAGTACTGGTTGAATAATATGGGGAGTAAATTGAAATAATGTAATAATTCATGGACCAAATTTGTTATTTTCCAGAAAGAGCGCAGCTATTGAGTCTGCGGTGGGAATAAGCGCCGCAGAATAGGCAGCTATTGACTCCCTCTTGACAGCTTGCTTATGTTAGAGCTATTGTGTCACTGTCCTTCTCTGCTTTCTTTGCTTGAATAATATGGGGAGTAAATTGAAATAATGTAATAATTCATGGACCAAAATGTTATTTTCCAGAAACAGCAGTAACTTTGTGAGGAATATATCTACATTGGTTTTGCTAACCTACTACAACTTTTGCTTTCATTGTCTTGCCCTTTCTAAAAACATTACCATCCTTTTAATACCAAGGGCGTTTTGGTCATTCCAATAAAAATACTGAAAACCCTTATCCTTCACCGTCCGGAAGGCCGTCTATTTATTCTTCTCAATTGGCGAATTTTTCTTTCCTTTTTTTTTTTTAATTCTCCATCAGTGAATCCCCATCCCTATTCTTATTTCCGGCAGCTGTTGATCTTTATTTCTTCCACCGGTCACTCCTCCTTTCCGTTAGCATTGTACTCATTTTACTTTTCCAGTTTAAATTGCTCCTATCAACGGAGTAATGGTTTGATTATGATTTGAGTTTTTTTTTCATGTCCTTTATATTCCATAAAGCTGGACAACAAATCTTAGGAAATATAAGCCTTTCGCAGTAAATATAAATGGAGAAGATTTTAGTATTTAGCTTGTGGAAACTATCAGGAGAGGAAGAGTTGGATAGAAAGCAAAATTTTAAGAAAAAGAAAAAATTCAGGTCCACCCAGTTTGCACTTCGCAGAGACTGGGAAGAGCAAAATGTGAGAGAGAAAGGGAGAAAACCAAATTGGGTAGAAAGACAAAAATATCCATCTTACTTATGCATTGATAACATGCTGTTAGGGGTATTTAAGGAAAATAAAAGATGTATACAATGCTAAACTACTACAACTATGTAGTAGGTTCGCAAAATACACACACACACACACACACACACACACATATATATATATATATATAAAGATTTCCAGTTAAGGAAAGAGGTCAATCTTTTGAGACAACCTAAATTGTGAAGTAGGTCAGGCAAAAGTGAATGTATATAATGTTTCTTATATCTCACCTTCTAATTATATAAGGGTTGTCAATTAGCTTAAAAGCAGGGGATTAAATAATTCCAGTGCAGGTTGCACTAAAGCCATCAATGCGCAATTGTGGTCATGTCTGCATGCCATTAAAATGCACTTTATTGTTGTGAAAATACTTTTATTAGTTTGGGGAGTAACTGATACTCCTTTTCGGTACTAAGCATCCTTCCAGAGTCCTCCTTAATAAGTCAATTCCTAAATTTTCATTATCTATTACTCCCGAAGGCTTTCAATTTGTTATCTTCTCAATAAAAATAAAGAAGTGCTCGAACAAGGTGACTGCTTCTCGCCTCAAGTGACCTGCATTTGAGCGCAAAATGTAAGCACATCATTGAAGCACACTGGGTCGACATGCTGAAGTGTATTAATCCTCGTCTCACTTCAGTCGCTTTAGCGAGAAGTGATCGCTTTTGATAACACTGCATTTGAGATAGTTATATTTTTGTATCTTGTTTTCTTTCAATAAGTGTTCATTTTCTTTCTCTAGGTATAACTTAGCTGCTATTTGCCTTTCTCAACTTTCTTTCTGTTATGTGGAATTCTAGTCCACTGACATAATTTTTGGTCTTCTAGGTAATGTTGTTGCACTGCTACATGCTTTCTTCTGTAATCTACCCCAAGAATGGCTTGAGGGAACTCATCTTATCATTAAGCACCTTAGGCCTGTGACATCTGTTGCGGTATTAAGAATAGCATTTCGTATTATGGGTCCTTTGCTTCCGAGGTTGGCCAATGCTCAGACCCTTTTCAGTAAGGTACAAACCTTTTCGAGTAAATGTTCATTTTTCTCTTTAATGTGATATTTTATGCTCGCGTATCATTCTCCCGCATAATTTTCCTTGTTTTCTCCATGTGAAAAGAAAATATGAATGATCGCAAATAGTGCTTTGGGCGGTTACACCACGATCGATGTAGCTGATTCAACCGACCACGGTAGAGCAGCCTGCTCTTAGTCGTTATTTTCTTTCTCAAAAGCCCATCTCCTCCGGAAGATTAGTCTAGGTCTGATCCTGAATTCCTTTATAGGATTTTGATAGTCAGTTACGATGCTCTATAATGGTGGTGTCCGGACCAGCTTGCGCACATCTTGACTATTCCACTGGGTATTATTACCTCCCACCAGCACAAGTACTGGGGAATAATAACAGAGGGATTAAACATTGTACATTGCTCATTTCCCTGAAATCTTGAGGTTGGAAGTAAATATACGCTGGACACATAGTCACGAGGCCTGGAAACAGAAATTAAAGTTTGCTCACATGCACTTAATTTTTATCGAAGTCCATCTCTGCTTAATGTTTACAAAAATTTTGTCCTTGCTGGACAAGTTTGGTTTTCCCTTTAAAAATACTTAGATTTTAAAGGGCATGAAATTCCATCAACTTTACAGGGTTATTTTCGTCTATCAGCATTTCAGTTTGGGTCTTCATGTTTATAACAATGTAGATAGAAATATGTATCCATCAAAGGCACTTCAGATCTTTCTTATGTTCTACATTCTAATGGAGAAGGGATGATGGAAGTCATAAATATCTATAGTATGCGAATATGTTCATAATTTATTTTCGATTTGTTATTTTGGAACTGATTTAAGTTAGGAAAGTGAGCACATTGCTAAAGTCATTTCTGTTTCCATTTCTTTCGCTTCCATCTATTGGAATATCATCTGGTAGACACTATCGCTACTTTTGAATATTTTGGTGGATGTCTTTGGGAGGAACTCACAGCTATCAGCACCTATTGAAGCAACTGAAATCACTGATCTTATTGACTTCCTGTAAGAATCTTTTTCTTCTCCATGTATTTTTATCTATAAAGTTGTAGCTTTCTTAATGCATGTTTTTTACATTTTTAATTTATTCTTCAGCAGTTACAGCATCGTTTTGCTTCACTTGTCATTTTGTTGCCATGCTTAAACAATTTATTCCTCAGGCATCATGTAATTCATTACGAGGGGCAGGGAGGGCCAGTGCAAGCGTCTAGCAAACCTAGATCTGAAATTTTGGCTCTTTTTGGACGAGCAACAGAAAATTTGCGTCCAGATGTTCAACATCTTCTTTCCCACCTCAGCAGTGATGCAAATAGTTCTATTTATGCTGCAACTCACCCAAAAATTGTCCAAACTCCTTAATTATTGTTGTATCATGCTAGCTTCTTTATCAAGTGCTCCTTTATGTACATCTTAAAAAGAAGAGTATTTGATTCCAGGAATTTAATGCAACTATTTGATGGCATTAAGATGCTTTTGCAGCTGTATCTCTATCACCACTGATATAGATAAATATAGAACTGTGTGCCAAATATTTGTTTAGGAGCACAAAGCTACTGAAATGCCACCCCTCCAATAAGAAGGGAAGGTGTATATGAAGACTTTTACAATTTTGTACTGATTATTTAGGCTTAGGTGGTTGAAGCGTTGCTTTAACTTTTCAATTGATATGCAAATTCCGGTACTAATTCAAAGGATTTTGTTAGACCATCCATTTTAACCTTATCTTTGCTTAATAAATATGAAAATCATTGCAAAGTTTTCTGAATTGATATTTCGTCATACTTGAATCTTTTATTAAACACTGGGTTACGGCAACTGTGTTTCTGAAATTGTAGTTCGACTCCTTACATTTTCCAAGTTGTGTTATATTTGCTTTACAAATAATTCCATATCTGGTGTTATTGAACATTTTGTTTATGTTTAGTGCAACTTCTGTCTATCCATTCTTCTTGTAGTAATTGAGTGGAAGAAAATTTGTCGGTTAAATGATGAATTATGACGATTGAGTATACTGACCAGTGTAGATTAAGAAAGTTAACATCAGAATAAGTTGCTCTAGTGGATTATGGCTTAATCCAAATACATGGCTATTATCAACTGTGAATTATTTGTATCAATACTTGTCTAAGCATGCTTCACCAATTGATTGACATGTAGTAGGAATTTTTACATTCCTATACATTATATGAAACTATATTACCCTTCCTACTCAAGTTTTACTATAATTACATTTTATATACCCAATCATCATTTATGTACATTTAAGGGAATTAGTGATAATAATTAGTGTCCTAAAATTACTCTAACATATCTTCCATTCCCCCACGTTTCTCTCTCCTCATCCCACCCCCTCCCCCGCGTAGCTTGCACCCACCCATGATTCCACTATTGACAATCATTAAAAAGCTTTGAAGCTTTGAATTCGAATTTGGATTTTCAAAAAATATTATTTGTTTGAATTGGATGTTGTTGCAAAGAATTGGGAATTCTCTCTACGTCTCTCTTTATCCCTCAATTCCTAATTTCAGTTATGTAAAGCAAAGGAAAAGAGAGCAGCAATTCCACCATTGACAGCCATTAAAAAATTTTGAATTCGAATTTTGGTTTTCAAAAATCATTATTTGTTTGGATTGAGTGTTGTTGCAAACAATTGGGAATATGGTTTGGAGTTGATATCTCAATTTTTAGGGGTTTTGGTGAAGATTAGACTTGGTTTTGGCTGAATTTCAGATTGAAACTCGAAAAAGAAGACATGATATACTTTATATTGACGAAATTATAGTAAAATTGTAAAAAATTTGTATTCTGTTGTTTATTTGTTTTTATTTTATTTTTTTAACTATTGTATGAAAGTTGAACAACATTGTATTAAAATTATATTTAAGTTCATATTGTAGTTGTAAATAAGTGGGTAGAAATAATGTATGAAAATTGTAGATAAGTTGTACAATATATAATTAGTTGTATGAAATTTGTTTTTACTATGTATAAATCAGATACAAAATATACAAAAGACATATTGTATAAATTTTGTATAAAATTTGTATTTAAGTTGTATGTTATTGTAGTTGTATTTAACTTGGTAGAAATAATGTGTGAAAGTTGTAGATGAGTTGTAGATAAGTTGTATAATATATAATTAGCTGTATGAAATTTATTTTTACTATGTATAAATTAGATACAAAATATACAAAAGTCAACTTGTATGAAAGTTGAACAACATAGTGAATTCCCCCGTGATTTCCCAATTTATATTATCTCTGATTTGTTGCTTTGTTTTTTCTGTTTTCTTCTAATTGACTTATTTTCTCCTCCTCATTTTGAGTAACTGTTCTATGTGAGATTTGCTTAGCGAGTACTGGGTGGCTGTTGGTGTGATCAATACTGACGCAATTGGGGTTGGCAGATAAAATCAAACCCTTTAAGACAATTTTGTCGAACATCTGATGGGTGGCCCAACATAGTGAAAGTAACATCACTGTTACGCGCAAGATCAGCAGGGGAATCAGCAAGATGGGAACTTCTATGCAAGATCTATAGCTTCTGCTGAAGATATGGGCAGAAAGAGAAAATCTAGAAAGAAGAGGGGAGAGAGGAGAGGAAAAAAGGAAAAGGGTGTAACTAAATATCTTGATTGAAGGCACAAATAATGGATTGGGAGCCTTTTAAGGTGGATTGTATATATTTTGTAAACAAAACTTGTTTATGCTGGGTAATTAACTAAACATGGACATTAAGGGTAATAAAGTTTCAAATAGAGTATAGAAATGAAAAAAATCCCTTCAGTAACCCAGGTTCAGTAAAATAAATAATTTTTCTCCTTAAATTAATGGGGCGTAGTTCCCTTTAAACCTTGATTATTGTTTTTAGAAAAAAATATTCGAAAGTTGAATTTTTGATGTTTCCGGTTCGATAGTGAGATTTTGATATAGGGGTCGAAATGGAATTCCGGAAGATGGAGTAGGTCCGCCGTGTCATTTTGACGTGTGTGCAAAATTTCAGGTCATTCGGATGAGGTTTCATAGATTTTTTGATCGAAAGCGTAAATTGAGAGTTTTTGGAGTTCTTAGGCTTGAATCCATGGTTAATTCGATGTTTCCATGTTGTTTTAGGTGTTTTAAGGATTGATATAAGTTTGGATATTAGTATATGACTTGTTTGTGCTTTTGGTTAAGGTCCCGGGGGCCTCGGGGTGATCTCGGATGGTTGACGGAAGAATTGAGTTTGGTTTTGGCAGCTGAAGATGTTCCATTGCTGTCATAACCGCACCTGCGGCTAGGGGACCGCAGGTGCGGGCACGCAGAAGCGCCCAGATGGTCGCAGATGCAGAATTGGCCATGTGGGGCTGGGACCGCAGAAGCGGCTGCTCGGTCACACCTGCGGTAGCGCAGGTGCGGCTTCTTGATCGCAGATGCGGAAATGGGCTCCTTAGTGAAAACCTCAGATGCGGTGCATTTGACCGCAGAAGTGGAGGAAGGGCCGCAGGTGCGAAAACCCTGGGCTAGAAAGTATATAAACCCTTCTTCGCGATTTTCAGCTTTTCTTCACCATTTTAAATCGATTTTTGGAGCTTTTGGGGGATTTTGAAGAGGGAATTTCGTTGAGGTAAGAATTTTGATCATAAAACACGTTCCTATGGTGTTATTTCATTGATTAGGCTTGAAATATATGGAAATTTGTGGGTAAATATTGAAGAAACTAGGGCTTGGAGAGCTTTGAGTGGTGGTTTTGAGGGACAAATTGAGGTCCGATTCTGGTAATTTTGGTATGCATGAACTCGTGAGAGCGTTAGGATTTTGAATATGTAAATTTTACCCGATTCCGAGACGTGGGCCTGAGGGCGTTTTGGTCATTTTACCTAATTTGCATATTAGCTTAGAATTTAATTGTAGTAACAGTTACTTGGGGTGTTATTTACATTATGCAAATTGAATTAAATATATTTGGGCCATTTGGAGTCGAGTACTCGTGGCAAAAGCGTGGTTTCAGGTTGATTTTGAGCCGGTTCGAGGTAAATGGCTTGTCTAACCTTGTGTGGGGGAAACTCTCCTTAGGATTTGGTTTGTTGATAATTGAAATGCCTTGTACATGAGGTGACGAGTGCGTACTTGTGCTTATTGTTGAAAATCCGTTTCTTTAAGTAACTAAAATTGTTATTTTCCTTTTTTCCTGACCGTACTACGTGTAATTTAAGCATGCTATTAGCCTAGGAAAGCATGTTAATTGACTTAATTGCTTTACTTGCTCAAATTGCCTTATTTGGGATTATGTGCAGCATGCTAGGCTAGAAATACCTGTTTTACTTGGGTATGGAAATTTGAATTTGAATTGAGTATTCTTCGTGTTGCCGCTGTGTGTTTACTTTGGGACTACAGGACGGTATCCCGGGAGATCCCCCTGTATGTTTACTTTGGCACTACAGAATTGTATTCCGGGAGATTCCCTTGAACTTTTATATTGGAACTACGGGACTGCACTCGGTAGATTTCCCCCAGTACTAGATATTTACATTTGGGACTACGGAGCGGGACTCCGGTAGATCCCCGCGCATTATGAGTTGGACTACGGGACTGCACCGGGGAGATCCACTGGATATTTATATTTGGGGACTACAGGACGGTATCCTGGAAGATCCCCCGGGTGTTATCTCTCTGTTGAGCTGCATTTATTTCTGTGATTATTTTGTCTCTATTAAAGTTGCTGTTGTTCTTCTATCCTGTGTTACTTCTTACTGTTGCACTTAAGTATACTGTCTTATTCCACACTGTTATATCTTGTATTTCCTATAGCTTCAGTAGGGCCCTGACCTTCCTTGTCACTACCCGACCGAGGTTAGGCTTGGCACTTACTGAGAACCGCTGTGGTGTACTCATGCCCTTCCTGCGCATGTTTTTCTTGTGCAGATCCAGGTACTCCCACTCAGTCTTATCACGATTGAGGCGAGGCGCTTTGTAGAGACTCCGAGGTATATCTGCCGTGTCCGCAGACCGAAGAGTCGCTTACTATTCTCAGTACTAGTATAGCCTTTCTGTATTTCCCTTGTTAGTAGACATTTCTGGAGTTCGAGCTTATTATGTAATCTTTTAGCTTGTGATACATGAGGTTTAGATTTTGGGTGTTTTAGATTTAGATTCTTGTACTGCTATATGCCAGGCGGCATCTTAAACACTGTTTAACTTTCTTATCTTGGTTTTTAATTACTTTCTTTCCAAAATTGTTTCTTTTTCCGCATTTGTTAGGCTTACCTAGTTGTAGAGACTAGGTGCCGTCACGATAGTTCACGGAGGGAGAATTGGGGTCGTGACAAGTTGGTATTAGAGCTCTAGTTTTATAGGAGTCATGTATCACAAGCCGGTTTATTAGAGTCTTGCGGATCGGTACGGAGACGTCTGTACTTATCTGCTAGAGGCTATGTAACTGTTAGGAAAATTCCACTTCATTTTATTTCCTTGTCGTGCGAGATTTTAACATCGCAGTTCTAAACTTCTGTCTTCTATTCTCTCACAGATGGTGAGGACACGTGCTACCCGAGATGATCAGGCACCCGTGCCCCTATTGGAGCCGTCAGAGGCCGGGGCCAGGGTAGAGGTCGAGGACGCGCTCGTGGTGCAGCCAGAGCACCCGCGCGAGCTTCCATCGAGGTGCCACCAGCAGTTCCAGCCGGAGTCCAGACACCTGATACGTCTACTACTACTACTCCAGCACTCCAAAAGACTC